AAACAAACATTCAATAATGAGAACGTCTTCTATGCTGCTTTTATCTTCCACTTGTATGGAGCAAATACTAGCTCTATTAATAGTATATATGATTAAACGCTAATCTCTAGTTGCCAGTTGAGCTGACTGTAGGATGACAGCCCTGTGCAGGAATGTTTAGGATGCTGAGAAAGGGTAACAGTTGTTTTTCATGGTTCAGTCTAAAAGGGTTTTGTTTCACCAACTGTGGTGTAGTAACACTAATAGCCAATTAACAGTAAAGCCTTGAAACAAACACTGATTGTTTGGCTGTAGTGCAGCCCCACTCTAACCAGATTGTCTTTCTGGACCCTCTGGCTATTTTCGCCTTTCAATTACCAGTCTCACTCATGACCATGGGCTCTAACAAGAATCTAGGATAAAGAGGAGTGTTAGGTCCTGGGAGTCTCGGTAAAGAAAAGCATTTCATGAAGGCAGGAGCCGCTGTGGGAAAGGTGCAAACCAGTCTGCCGTCCCCCTCAGACCTGACTCTTCTGCGAGGTGTGGAGGAGACAGGTCCCTGTGCAGCCTCTGCTGTGATCTGCACGGCTTTGATGTGGTACTCTGGGGGTCATGGGGGTTCAGTCTTATGATATGAATCACGAACCAGTTTGGGAGCCCAGAGGGAATCACACAGCAGCAGCCTGTGTGTTGGTGAGGCAGCTAAGCCCTTGGTGTTTATGGGCAGATGCAAAACTGTTCTTCCACAGTAGATGTTGTCAGTCAGGTTAAATCAGTTTGTGCATCAGCTCCAGCTTGCTGCCAGCTGGACTTCTCCAGCCGAGGATAATACTTGTCGTGGTTTTCTGAACAGGAGTCTTGCCCGTATGCTCTTCTGAGTTCCAACACTGCAGTGTTTCCAGAGCATTTGATAAAAGCTGTCGTGTTAGAGAGGGTGCCTTTTTTCTTATTCCCAGTTTAAAGAGAGAGATGCGGAACCTGAGTGAAGAGTGCAATCTGGAGCCGGTCACTGTCTCCATGGCTTATGTTTACTTTGAGAAGCTCGTCCTCCAAGGCAAGCTCAACAAACAGAACCGCAAACTGTGTGCTGGTGCTTGCGTTCTGCTTGCAGCCAAGATCAGCAGTGATCTCAGGAAACATGAAGTTAAACACCTTATAGACGTAAGTACTATGAGACTTGTTTCAGGTTTTGTCAAAACCTTCCCTCTAGCTCGTGAAACAAGACTAAAATTAAAGCCAAGATTTTCAGCAGTGCATGCTTGCATTTAAGACCAGCTCTTTCAGTCAGGTTTATGTCTCATTGGGGCTCCTTCTTGATTATTTTTTTTTAATTAATTAAAACTATCTGACTGGTGCAGTCTAATGTCCTACTGATCCTACAGTGAGGTTATTTTTGCACTTACTGTTTCTCAGGCAAAGATATGTAACTCCTGTGCGGGTGTCAGAGCTGAGCTGATAAGCTGGTTTACGTGTCTGATCCCTGGCAACACTTTTGATTCTGTAGGTACAGCTCAGGCCGTGCATCGCTGACTTAATCTCACACTGCGTTGGTATCTTGTGGATTAACTGATTCTGTTTCTCCCCCTCTCCTCTTTTTTGTTATCACTATCATAGAAATTAGAAGAGAGATTCAGATTCAACAGAAGAGATCTCATCGGTTTTGAATTCACCGTCCTCGTAGCTTTGGAACTGGCTCTCTATCTTCCTGAAAACCAAGTTTTACCTCATTACAGACGGCTCACACAACAGTCTTAACCAAAGCTACGTTCCAGCTGACAGCCGGTGGCGCTGGGGATCGCATCACTGAACACTGCTGGGGAAGTTGCCACTGGCCTTTCCGTGCGCCGTGTGCGTCCTGCCGTGGCTACGGCTAGTTCTGAACTCTGCAGTGTGGTGTTAAACTGTCGGTGTGGATTATGGACACGTATGCCAAGTCTGGGGGATGGTACGAGAAGAGTTATTGAACTTTATTTTCTTTTGGACATTTAAAGCACAAATATTCACCAGTCAGCTGTCATGGCTGCTTATTATTCCTTATTTATCTTTTTGGTTTTACTAAAACTGTTCTTCCCTATGAAGAATACTATGGTATTGTTTCTTTTTTGGTTTTTTAAGCCTTTATTGTATTCCTTGAAACTAAAGGAAGCATCACTTCCATTCCAGTGCACCATAAAGTTCAGATGTTTCTAAGAATCTTCTCGCATTTTTACATTAATGAAATGCATACTTTATTTTTTTAAAGATGTGCCTAAAACTGGCTGGTCTGGTACCAGTGCTTTTTAAGTTAGTTATGTTATTTAGTGGGGAATCCCGAATTTGTATAGCCAGTTATTCTTTACCTGCATTGGCCTTGCATATAAGGAAAACAATTCCAGTATATCTGCACTAGTGATACACAGGGCATCTATTCTCTACAATACTATAGATGTATAAGTAGCAAGACTGAAATGACTCCATTCTAATTTAGTTAACTATTAATACCTTAGACATTTTATTTAAAAAGGAAAGATTGTTGGAAAATCTGTCGTGAAATACCACGTGTTGAACGAGGTAGCCGCAGCAAAGCGATTGCCATCCTAATTCACTCTTCAGTGGAAGATGAGCGCTTGCCTAAGAGCAGTTTGCTGTCAAATGTATCATTTATGATCTTTATTTGTTCCAGTGTTCTGTAGTCTGAAATAAGCACCTTTTTAGTACGACTGTATTATATATGGTCTTACGTGCTCTGAGCAAATACTTAAGTCAGTAGAGCTACTGCTGCCAAACTAAGCCAATGAAACAAAGCATGCTCAATATTTAAAATGCTACTTTTTTTACTCCGTTCTTCCAGGCATTGCATCACTGTGATGGTCCTCATAAACCTGGCATTTCTTGCACATCTGAACAGCCACTTAACGGCTGGTGCCCAGCAGCGCTCTGATGCTTACGCAGAGGTTAAATAACTTCTCTGACCATTGGCTATTCCTTGATTTGTTTTTAAAATGTCCGGGTTGGGAATGAACTCTGATTATATGTGGAACCTTCTGTGGTATTGGCTCTTGGGTTTATTTTCTGAAGCAATATTATGATACAAGTAACTGTGTCCACTTGCAAGGAACAAAACTGATGCTTGGCTATTACAACTAAGAAATTTGTAATTTGTTTGACTCCTAAATGAAGTACTAGACCTCGTACTGAGGTGAGGGACCTGCTATCTAATATGTAAAGTAATGTAAATTTCTGTTCCTTGTATTAAATGTTGGTTGTAGGCAAAAACAAAGCTGAGTCTTTGCTCTTCAGCTGTGTTTTGTCTGAAGCTAATTTGGCTTCATTAGAATTGCCGCAAACTTTACTGGAGCCCCTTCCTGTTTAAGTAGGGCTCAAAATGTATTTTTCATATAATAATTACAGTGACTATCAAATCTTTTTGTAACTGTGTTCAGCTGTATGTAGCTTCAAGTTATTTGTGTAAGATTTAATATGCTTGTGACTTCTCTCTAACACACAGGACTTTCCAGTCGCCTGAAGTGAGATGGTACCTAGTAAGTTAGACAATAAGCTTGCAAGTTATCTTCCAAAAGGTTTAAAAAAAAAAAATTGTCTACCAGTTAAACTTTCTGCTGAATATAACTGTCCTTGCATGCAAGAAATAGTGATGTACTAAACACCTAGCGTATAACAAGCCTTCAAATTAGCCAACGGTGGTGAAGATAACTGAAGTGGTTCGTCCACCACTTCCTAAAGTCCTTAGGGGAGGGGAAAGAGGTAGAACCGAGCCCAGACATCTCTCATGCATTTCTCCAGAAAGAGCAAAACACTTGGGTTGGTATGAATGAAGTCAGAAAATGTCTTTCCTGGGAACTTCTTTCTGGTTAGCGTATTAAGAGTTATCATAACAAAATTAACTTTCTGACCATCTAAGGAAAAAGATGGACTTTGGTTTGTAATGCTTTGCAGTCTCTATTCAGTGGAAAGGTTGTCTAGTTGCAGTGGGCATCTGGGATGGAGTTACACTCCCAGAAGCTATGGCTTCACGTCATGAAGCAGCAAGCTTTGGTTTTCTCTTTCAGAAGAACAAATTAGGATAAGGAGCATTAAATTACAGAATGTTGTCTAAAGGTTACTCTAAACGTTGGATAGCGTTCTTGAGCTCCAAAACTCTGGGGAGCACAGGCCAAAGGCGCAGCGGCGGGGTCAGTGGCTGGGGCCAAGCGTGGCCTTGGGGACAGTGGTGCCCAGCAGCGCAGCCTGCGGTGTGCGTGCAGGAACGGCAACGCCCGTCCGGTTGCGTGGTGGTTTTTCTATTTCTAGCGTGTAGCTTGCAGTCCTGCGTGGGAATATTTATTATCCTGTCGCCTGAAAGCTGCCACCGTGTGGCACAGGCCTATGGCGGCATCATCCCGCGCCCGTAACCCGCAGGTGGGACCCGAAGGAGCGCTCCGCTGCGGGCGGAGCTCTCCGCAGAAGCGGCTGTAGGTGTCTAAACGATACTGTCACGGTTTTGTCTCACTCCATTATTTAAAAGTCTTTAAGTTGTAGCCTGTTCCGTGTTTTATGCCCCGACTCCCCCCCCCGCCCCATGAATTTATGACATTACGCTGCTGTGAAATAAAAACGGCTTTG